AAAGAAAGAATTAAAGAAAGGAGGAAAAAAAAAAAACTAAATGGGACTATAGCTCAGTTGTAGCACCCACCAGTGACTGGTTTCAATTCCCAAAACTCCAAAAATAAGTAAGTAAAATTTAATAGTCTTTTAATTATAGCTTAATTTCATCTTTTATTGTGAAACATTTATATATGTTAAGGCATGTTTTGGAGACTATATATATCATACATTAACAGAAGCCAATTTAAATGATGGACTTTAGGGGGATAAATGTTTATACTGGCCTTCCTTTAATTCTCAATTTGGTTTCATGTCCATATTGTGAATCTTTACATTTCCAATTTCTTTTACTATGTTTCTCATCTTTTGATAGCCCTCACTTAGACCTATTTAAGTAATTCAACTTTTTCAACCAATAGAGTTTGTGAAAATTAAATTTGATATACTAATATCACAGATCACAGATGGAAGAGCCATTCTTGGAGTATTTTCTATTCTATCTGCTTTCACAGGTAAGTAACAAAACAAATTTTCTTCTTTGTTAACTATAGAATTCATTGATCTACATTTTTTTGTCCGTTGCCTAACACTATGTTCACAATTTATTATTAGCATATGCTCTAAAGTTTAAAGTGATGTAATTCATATTTGGACTAACTATTGCACAATTTATAAATCAAAGATTTCCAGGTTCTCATGTAATAGAGAACTAGAGAATTCTTTCTCACATCCCTTACTATAAAGGAATTCTAGCATGTTACTTGCAGCCCCATTCCTACTATTTGTTAGATACTTCACTTTCAAGTAAATACAGCCCTGACTCAAACTGGCCAAAGACTTCAGGACAGTTATTGTCTTACATGACTAAAAATGTCAAGAGTTTATTTTGACTTGGCAGTAAATATAATTAGAGTCTTTAGGTTTTCCTGGTTCAGTCCCTCTCAGATTAACTTTATGTATGGCAGAAAACAACTATAGTTATTCTAGGCTTTTTATCTGCAACATTCTGACCAAGAGGAAATAAGAAAACCAGATTTCTTAAATTCCAATTCCCAGAACAATGACTTAAGACTTAACATTTAGTGATCCAGTTGATAAAAGAGTTTATGCTTCATCAGTAGAAAAAGGCAAAATTTTGTTGTTGTTGTTTTAGATCTCAAGTAGCAATTATTCAGGAGGAAAAATAAATAAGGATATGCTAGGCACATCTCAGCTACTCCTGAGTTCATTAAATATGGTCAAAATATAAATATCTTTCAAATTATAAAATTCACATTACAAATGGCATTCAGCCCAATACAAGTAAAGTCTTTTAAAAATATATCAAAAAATTCATAATAAATCTTTTTTTTTATAATTGATTTATTGTTATAGTGAACCAAATGGAAACATACACTCCCATTATGATTTAAGACATTATTTAAACCAGCATTAGTTAACCTCTTGAAATCTCAAATAGCTGATTAATCACCAAAGACTTCAATAGTCATAAAGATATGCCTGATACTTAAAAGTTTTACACTTGATTTATTAACTTCAGTGACTTTCTCCTTACTTAAAATT